TGTCTATTCTATTAACATTTCTCTATCTGGAGAATGGGGCTGGGCCCCCTGCCTGTCTTTGCCTAGGGCCCCAGATTTCCTAAATCCGCCCCTGTTATCAGGTTAATCCATCACTGAAATAATCGAATCATTTTCTTGGACTTTTCCGTCTCAATCAGAGAAAAAACCCTCTGAAAACAATGACTTAGATATAGAATTAAGTCATAAGATTAATTTCTAATTACATTTAATTTTTAAATAACATTTAATTCAAGGTTTTAATGTGATTTCTAATAATTCAAGAGAACATTTCAATATTTAATTTAGGGCTGCAATTAATTACTGTTTTCAATAAATCGATTAATAATCAGAATTTTTTTCTTTTATCCTAAATGCAAAATGTTTCTATATTTTTTTACAATCTTGGTATAATTTCTGCTCTGTCAGCAACGTCTGTTAGTCCAGTTAATGATTAATCGATTACTAAATGAGTTGATTATTGTTTTAATAATCGATTAATCCGCTTCATTATTCAGCCCTAATTTAATCATCCAGAAACTTCTAACATTTGCAACATATTTTATTTAGACTGAGGAAAAAACGGCTGTTTGTTTGGAGAGCGAAGGTTGCAGAACGGGACGATATTTTAGAACATTTCTATAATGTAGATGAACAAAAAAATATTAATTAAAAAATGCATAATTGTCCAACAGAATTGACACAAATCTGCAGCAAATATCAGTGATCAATCTGAGCAAATATTCAGTAAAAAATGAAACTAATTGCTTCAAAGCTGCAGCAGTCGCCATCAGATCAGATTTAAAGACGTTCAGAGGAAACTTTAGTCAGATTGATCACAAACCAACGCTGCATTAAACAATGTTAACCTAAAGGAAACACAGCGGAGAGTTTCCAAACCTTCTCCTCCGGCGGGGCCGGGTCGGCCCTCAGAACGTAGTAGTAGACGCAGGTCTTCCTCAGCCACAGGGGGAGGGGCCCCTCCACAAACACCGGCCTGTTGGGGTTATGCTTGGCCAGCAGCTCCATCTGAGCCGCGCTCTGGATGCCTGAGGAAAGACACAGAACAGGATGAAGAACCACCATGGAGAACATCAAGAACACACATGGAGAACAAGGAGAAGATGCAGAACATGGAGAACGTGAAGAACATGGAGAAGATGCAGAACACGGAGAACATGGAGAAGATGCAGAACATGGAGAACGTGAAGAACATGGAGAACATGCAGAACATCAAGAACACACATGCAGAACATGCAGAACATGAAGAACATGCAGATCATGCAGAACATGGAGAAGATGCAGAACATGGAGAAGATGCAGAACATGGAGAACGTGAAGAACATGATGAACATGCAGAACGTGAAGAACATGGAGAACATGGAGAAGATGCAGAACATGGAGAACATGCAGAACAAGGAGAACATGGAGAAGATGCAGAACATGGAGAACATGCAAAACATGATGAACATGCAGAACGTGAAGAACATGAAGAACATGCAGAACATGCAGAAGATGCAGAACATGCAGAACATTGAGAACGTGAAGAACATGGAGAACATGCAGAACATCAAGAACACACATGCAGATCATGCAGAACATGGAGAAGATGCAGAACATGCAGGACAAGGAGAACGTGAAGAACATGGAGAACATGCAGAACATCAAGAACACGAAGAACATGGAGAACATGC